GATCGGCTTAATCAGGCTGTGGGTGACCCAAGTAAGCGCTACATGTCACGTTCATGAGTCGCGCTATCGACTCACGTGACACAGGCAACGACCTACTCCTTTTTTCTGCCTTTTTAATTATTGTATTTTTGCTTTATATTCGCCGCTTTATTCATACTTTCCATTTAAACTAACCTCGTTTCGCTCATTTTGTCTAAGCTGAATACTTGACACAACGCTCTCTATAATTTCTTTGTCGGTTCCCCTATTTGCTGGCATTTGTGCTTGTCAATATTGGTTGTTTTGCTTGGATGTGTGGGAAACTTCAATCATGGGTGTCTTTTGTTCATTGAACACAAAATGAGACGCACCGGAAAATTTTACCGTAGCACGATAAACACTGCCTATTTCCCCGATGATACGTAAGTCATTGCAGACAATTGAATTTATTTGTTCACTTGCACTCACTTGCATTTGTTGTAGAAAGCCCCTAGACACGAACAGTTGTATAAAGAACGAGGACAACATTTGGCCTGACGTTGTTGACGTGAGCCCCACACCAACCAATCTTAATTTTAAACAAACTGCCTTTATCCGCGAGAATCATGGAAAGTCCATTTTTGGTGTAGCTTTCAATTCAGACAATCGCAGCCGCCCCACGGATCCCCTTCTTTTTGCCACTGTCGGAGGCAATCATGTGAGTACTAATTCCTAGTGCTGAATCATTGGATGTTTGCACCGATCGTAGCACGGCACTAACCTGACATCATAGGGCTTTGGTTTGGTTCCGAGTCTTATCGATTTAGTGGGGTCGTTTGATGAGCTTAGATTTGGTGCTCCTGTTTAACATAGGTAACAATTTATCAGTGCAAGAACCTTTCGATGCCAGCGGAAGGCTCTATCGAGGGACCCCCGGTTATATTGCTTCAGTCGTTTGCCGACCCGGCAGGCGATGATGAGGACTTTTACTGCTGTGCGTGGTCTCGCAATCTGGACAGCCTATCGACCAGCGACGTGTGTTCTGACAGCGCGTCAAGTCAACAACAGATTCTCGCCGTCTCGGGCAAGAGGGGCATCATCAGGCTGCTTTGTCCATCCCTCGCCAGCTGCCTGGCCAGCCTCGTCGGACACGGACAGTCTGTGAATGAGCTCAAGTTCCACCCCC